GTGGTGAGGTTTTTTTGGAAACATTTTTGAAGATAATATTTAAAGTAAAAAATTCCTTGGGTCCATCATCCGACGCAAAATTTATAGGATTTTTTTTTAAACTTGGCAAAAATGAATACATTTATTTAAAAAAAAAAATATTTTCTATTAAGCAAATTCAACAATTTGTCATGATTTATTATTATCATCATCATTAATATGCTGTAAATAATCAAACAATTTACATTTGCAAACATTTTTTCAGTTTACTAAATCTATTCGCACTGGTATGAATAATTTTAATTGCCCATAATTGTACAAAAATACAGATCCTGAACATTATTTTTTTACATTTTTTAATTAAAACTTAAAGGGGTGGTAAAATGCCATTTTCACACCAATGTGGTGCTCAAATGGGCAATGCAGTTTTGAGCATTTCATGATCGCCAGATTGGGCAAAGGGGGTTTAGCAGACATGGGCTGCTGTAAAAGGTTGTCATATTAAAATTAAATCTATGATGTCTGAGGATCACAACCCGGTCAACAAGCTGCTTTAACTATAAAAAACTATATATATAAAAAAATATTTATCCGATACATTTTTACAACAGTTTAAAGTAGTGGCTGTTTTCAGCCAGGAACATAACGAAAGGGTAGTGAATTTGAACAATGCAAAAGGGTTAACTCTTACAATCTAATTACATGTACAATCAAAGCATCAGATGAAAGCTTATCTTTCAATCTTTTGAAAGTTTGTTTCTAACATAAAGTATCAGGGAGATATGGCTCAGGATTCATGAATATAATTAAACCTTTTTAGCATGTTTGGGTGATTCCGGGGAGTTAATTTGAAGAAAATGTGTGTTGTACTCGCCTAATCACTGGCTCGTTGCTAAGGTGTTGTCAAGGTGTTCTAAGTGTTTTTAGAGGCAATTTTGATGGCCATCACATTTTCTCCATTACAATGTGTGTGTGTGTGTGTGTGTGTGTGTGCGCGTGTGCCTCCTCAACTCTCCCCACCATCTGCCCTGCAGCCTCAGTGTGAACGCAGCCAACAGACTCATGCTCCTTCAGCCTTTAGATCTGTCAGCTCAGCTGCTAGATTGCTTATCTCCTCCTGTTTGAGTCCGTCCCCTTGCCTTTTTCATGCATGTTTACTTTCTATCGCTTATAGAAATATTGATACCACCATTATAGGCTAAAGAAAGTCTGAAGAACATTTGTGTAGACCAATTGGAGTTAAATGCTAAATCTATTATCACAACCAATAGGGATCATCGTTATATTAAATTATTCCATCTGTTTGGGAATTGTTTTAGTAAGTATGGGCTAAGACCAAGCTTCAGATTATTATTCTAGTAGATGTCTGTGGTCTTTAATGTGTCTTGTGTTAAGTGAAGCACTTAATTTGTAGTTGCCTCAAGATCTATTGATGCTGTGTGATAGACTTTCAAGAATAACTGAGATTGTATTTAAGATTTTATATATCTGAATACTCTGTAATCAATTATTAACGTGCGCTTCCTTATACAATGTTGTTTGTCTTGAAGTGCACCAAGAAGTTAGCTGTGGAATTATGGAGGATTTGGCTTGTGCGTGATGTCTCAGAATTGAGAATGTGAGAATTGAGATGGATTTTTCCAGAAAGGTTTGCTACAGATGAGTTAAATCATTTTTATATTAGAGATGTGCAAAGTATACACTAATATTCAAAAGTTTGGGGTTGGTAAGTCTTGCTTGTTGGTAAGTTACTTTTTTTTGTAAGTTTTTTTTTTTTTTGCAATATTATCAAAATTTAAATTTTTTTATTTTAACATTTTTAAAAAAAAAAAAGTTTTTTCATGGGATGTGACACTGGAGTAATGTCTGCTGAAATTCAGCTTTATATTTCAGCAGCCATTACTCCACTCTTCAGTGTCACATGACCCTTCAGATATGATTATCAATGTTGAAAACAGTTGTGCTGCCTGATATTTTTATAGAAACTGTGATGCATTTTTATTCAGGATTATTTAATGAATAGAAACCTCAAAGAAAGCAGCATTTATTTGAAATAAAAAAGAACTTTTGTAGCATTATGAATGTCTTTACTGACACTTATGATCACTGTAATGAATCCTCCTTGCTGAATAAAAATATTTATTTAGTATTAGTATTTTGTCATATTATTAGTGTTGACTGACCCCAAACTTGTGTACAGTAATAATTTGTTATATTTATATTTTTCTTCTGGTCTCCTCCTTACCGCTTTTTCTGAAAGTGTATAAGTAAATTAAAAAAAAAATCTTTCCTGATTAAAGTCCTAAGCTAAAGCACTCTGGCAGCATGTTTGCAGCAAATTTTAAGATATAAAAAATGTAAAAACAAACAGTTCAACAGATCACATTAATGCACAAGCTGCTTGTTGCATGGTCTGTTTTTTATCAAAGTCTTATACAATATGCTGTCGTGTTGCATGTTCAGCAAGTGAGGAGGAAAAAACGTTCTTTTTGATCACATCAAGCATCAGACAGCCACAACTCTTTTAAATAAAGCCCGAGATTCAGATCCAACGCGCCTTTGTTTACGTTACATAACCCAATCCACACAGTATATCAACATACATTGCATAGGCATCAAATCACGAGAGCCCCGCGGATACCCGACCATAATCGACACCTAGGAGCCTGCCAAACAAAGTTTTTTCCAGAGCCAACATTCGTTCTGCTCTCTTGATGCATCAGTCACTTTTAAATATATCTTTTAGAAGCAAATATCCATTTTAAACAGCCTTCAACAAAAGGCAAATAATTCTCATCATGAATAATCCATGGCAGAGGCTGTCTGTCCGTAGCTTGTGTGGGCTGCAAATGATTGAACTTTGCGTATACAGTAAGAATGAGTAATTTGAAGGCAGTTGGTGATGTGAGACGGAAGGTTGGTCCTCTCTTGTTCGTGGGCAGATTGCACAGAGACTCTTCTAATTCTGACTGGGACAGTGTAAGGGAATCCCTATGGCAACCAGACCCATTTCTGGAGAGGTCGCTCAAGTGGGAACCTTTGTGTTTTATAATGTGCAGAGTAACATTTTGGTAGGGCATTACCAGAATAATTCTTCACCCTTGATTTAACAGAATTGTGCATGCTTTTTGGTCACAGTTACTTGCTAAGGCAAGCATCACTATTACTGTTCTTAAGCTTAGGATTTATGGATTTAAACAAATCGATAATACTAACTGTCTGAACTTTTCCATGCAATTAAATGAAACCTTTTCAACACAGAAGAATCATATTGAACCGATTTGTTGCAGTGTTGTATGATTTCATTTTATGCGTACTAAGATACAATGAAAATCTCCTACGCTATCTCACGACCAATTCGTACGAATTCGACGCATGATTAAAAAGTGTCTAATTCGTACTAATTTGTACAACCTCACTGTCTAAACCCACGTGATGGTTAGGTTTAGGGGCGGGGTAAGGGGTAGGTCATTCGTATGAATTCATACGAATTGGCCAATTCGTAAAATATATACGATTTAGCAAAATCGTACTAATTTGTATGAGTGAGGTCGTATGAATTAGTACGAATTAGACGCTTTTGAATCATGCGTCGAATTCGTACGATTTGGTCGTGAGATCGGGTTGAAATGTCTGAGAAGTTTTTTCAAAGATTTAAATGCATTGAAATGTAAAATTTAAATTGTATTTTTTTAAAGGGGTGGTAAAGTATGATTTCACTTTTCTAATTTTAGTTAGTGTGAAATGTTGCTGTTTGAGCATAAACAACAGAATCAAAGTTACAACGCTCAAAGGAAGATATTTGCTTTTAAAGAAAAGGACTTCAACAAACGGCTGGTAGGGACTACATGACATTCCTCAAGGGTTAGTGACGTCACCAACCATAAAATGTACATAAACCCCGCCCACGGGAACACGCAGTCCATGTTGAGAAGAGGAAGAGTGGTATATAGACCACATTTGTGAGTCAGCTCAAACTTTAGCATGCATTTTTTCACATCCAATAGAAAGTCACTCTGTGTGCATCTCTCAACAGTTCCTATATGAGTGATTTATAGATTACATGACAGAATATCCTAATTGAAGACAGTTAGCAAGTTAGATTCATCAACTAACCATTCAGAGACGTCCTCTTGTGTTCTACATGTCATGTCTTCTTGAGCATCTCCATGTTTGACTGACTCCATTTTAACATTAAAGGGAGAACAGTTTCTGTCATTTTAGTGTGTCTGCGTGAGGAAATCGCAGCTGCTAACACAGATTTAATTTTAATATGACAACCTTTTACAGCAGCCCATGTCTGCTAAACCCCCTTTGCCCAATCTGGCGATCGTGAAATGACTCAAAATTGCATTGCCCATTTGAGCACCACATTCATTCATTTCGGGAGTTGGAAACAGCTTTCCAAAGCCAAATTTCCAGAAAAGTTTGCTCCGACTACCAAACACTTGGTCCATAGTGATTACATAATTGTGTGCTCTGAAGCTCCGCCTTCCTTGACGTGGTAATCTTCTCTGGTTCATTTGTTCTGTTCAGTCCGTCGAAGTCAGAGCGAATAAAGTCAGAGATGCTTATTCTGTAATTCTAAGACTATTTTTCTATTCTATGTCCATTTTTTTTACCCCTAATCAAAGAACTATAAAGGACTTTTGAGTGTGCATCTTTACTCTCGAGTTCAGCTTTCCCTTCAACAGAAAACCTTTCTGTCCTTATGCACCATCTCTCCATTTACCTCCTTCCCAATTTGCAGTCCTACAACTCTCATTTGTTGCTGTCTTTGCCCTCATGCTTTGCACTTCTCTCTTTTTGTCCTTAATTGCTATGATTAAATCTACTGCTCAATAATTACTGTCTTCATCCCACTAGATAGAGTCCAAAAACACTAACAAACTCGGCGTTCATTCCCTCACTACCTCTATGCGGCAATACACCACTCATGTTGAAGTTACTGCACAAACACAGCATTCCAGTGAAGTTTTAGAGAGCAGGCATTTGGTGAATGATGAAGAAGAGGAAGTTACCTTGATGTAGTAGTTCAGCTGTGGATAGACCCTCTGCACCCCCAGGAAAATAGAGAGAGGGGTTCGGTGAGGGAAGGAGGCCGTGACGACATGTGTAACCTCTGGGAAAGAGAAAACCCGAAAACCGTGCTTCTCGTACAGCTGCTGCTGGTCCTCATTGGGTCCGTCCTCACCTTCACTCAGAATACTGCCCACAGCATAGCGACACTTCTGTGCTGGAACCTACAACACACATTTTGAAGTAGGATCAGTGTGGGTATTGAAATCTTGTGAAAGGTTTTTATTTCATCAATGAAGACAATAATGAAAAAGACACACTGAAGAAAATATGACTAGATAACACACTGCAAGATGTAAATACAATATTGCAGAAGAATAAACTGTTTCAGAGAATAGTCGAGTATTTAAAATTAAATGCATTGTTAGCAGGGTATATAGCCCACTCATACAAGATAAAAAAAAACTTTTATTCAGCAAGGATGCATGAAATTGATCAAAAGTGACCGTAAATGGTTAAAAAAAAATATATTGAGAAGCACAACTGCTTTCAACAATGATAATAAGAAGGAATGTTTCTGGAATCACCAAATTATGATTTCTGACGCTGAAGACTGGAGAAATGATGCTGAAAATTCAGCTTTGCATCACAGGAATAAATTACATTTTAATATATATATATTCAAATAGAAAACAGTTATTTTAAATTATAATAATATTTCACAATATTACTGTTTTTTTACTGTATTTTTGACCAAATAAATGCATCCTTGGTGAGCTTAAGAAACCAAATAACATTAGCATTGAAGCAGGCTTATATCAAAGACAATAAACACTTCTCTTGCCAACAACAAACGCTCAAAAAACTTTCCCAACCCCATTAAAACCCATCAACTGCCTGCAGTAATCAGCAAAAAGAGCCATACACATCTCACAAGGCTTATCTCATGCAACAAATAAGCAGGAAAAACTCCCTCCCTCTTGCTTGCGCAGTTGTGTTCAAAGACAACGGGGAGCGTGTCCATGATTCAGTGAGTCACAGAGGAAAAGCTATCTTAATGAGAATAAACAAAGCCACGGCTGAAAAAGCATATAAATACAGGATTAGATGTAGTTGCATGAGCAGGTGGCATTGTGTGGCGAAAAAAACAACAACGAAGCTATAGTTTGATAAGATGGTGCATTTGGCACCTTCGAGACCAGTGTGTGGACGGATGCCCAACAACAGTCACTTTTTATGCACACCTCTTGCTTTTACCAACTGAATGCATATTGCAAATGAGATGGATTGTATGACCCAGTCTCAGCTTGGGTTTTTGGTCCCTTGAGGATTCGAAGGGAAGAGGGCTAGCTCACTGAAGACAGACTGTGACAGATGAAGGTCTGTTTAGAAAAGAGGCTGGAACAGTTCCCAGAACATCCCTCCTTTCATTTGGAGGAAAGTGTTCATTCCTCTTGTAGTCTTCTGGGTCACTTCCGACCTCCTGCCGAGCTTTCCAGGAATAAATTGCACTGCCAGTCAGGTAAAACATCAGTCAGAGAAAAGCAGATAACCAGATTAGTTCAACTGGTTTTAGTTTTCTTTAATGTGTGCAATCGTTCTACATCCTAACTCTTCGTGATTCTTTAAGTAGTCTACTCACAGCAGGAGCATTCTGCGGCCCAGGTCCGCGGGAGGTCTTGTTTCTTGGTGCGCTCCCAGCAGGTGTTGCTCATGGGGAGTGTGTTTTAACAGACTGGCCTGTCACTAAGCCTCCATTTGCTCAAAGGCTTTGACACAGATTGTGACTAAGTCTCTTCCAACACGGCATTAGATTATAAATAAATGAGACCACAGCAACAAAAACTCTGAACTGCCAGAGACCATGTTCTGTCAACAGTTTATTTTTTTTACATGATGTCAAATATTGCAGGGGAGCATAAATAACGATTCATTGGTGCATGTTATTCCAAAACATAAAAAAGGGATGTCAAATAGATTCATTGTGATTAATCGCATCTAACATTAAAGTAACACCAGGTAACTTTTCAACCTTCATAATATATTTCCAAGTTTCTTGTGATGGTATGGTACATCGACTTACAATAGGTTGAATGACATGGCTGCCATAGCCTGACGGGGTCTGTAGCGTTTTTAATCGTGCTTTTAAACTTAAGAGAACTACAAAATTCGACTGCTTTACGGCATATACGTCACTTCCACCACCACCCCCACTTATACTTACACACATGACCTGATTTATACGAGGTTGAACTGGCCGTGTGACAAAGCGGGCATAAGATGGACACGAGCGCGAGTTCACGGCACGGGCGAATTTAATAACGCGGAGCCTAATCAACCAATTGATCCATATATAAGGCGCTCCGGATTATAAGGCATACTGTCGTTTTTTGTGAAAATTAAAGGCTTTTAAGTGCGCCTTATAGTGCGGAAAATACGTGTACTTATATATGTGTAAACTTGCAATAAAACACAACATTGTGCTTTTGTCACACTGTATACTTTTGACAAACTGTAACCTTCAACTGTCACCCAATCTGCACAGAGCACTAATCTGCATTGATCAAAAAAGAAAATCGATTGTGTTTTTAATAATAGTATTATTTTATACAGAAAATCAATTATTTATAATTCAGATGAGAATAATGTTACATTGTTAATGTTAATTACAATTAAGGAAAACAAATTGATCTGAAATATAGCAAAATAATTTTAAATTAATTCTGGTACAATTACCAAACATATTACAAGGTCTTTTTATTCATTTAATTAATAAACTATACAAAACTATTGTCAGTGCACTACAAATAAACTGGTTCTATGCCTTTATTAAAACTTATTTAAAAAATAGGGTTAGGGTTGTATTTTTGTTTTGTTTTTCCCTCCATTGTACCGAAATCGTACCGAACCGTTCTGAAGTTGAACCGTTCTGTGTACCGTTCCACCCCTAATATGAACACAAACTTTTGTTACCTGCGATTAATCGCGATTAATTGATTTGACAGCACTAAAAAATGTATAGTTTAATCCTGATGGCCCTAAATTATTTTTCATTGAGTTTCTTGTTTTGTTCATTTGAAGGCAAAATGGTGATGCCTATGGAGTCCAACCAGCAACCAAATGACTTTTAGGATTCACTCAGCCTTAACCACTACATCATACCACACATTACAATAAACTACCAATAACAATACCAGTAAGTCATACTACAAAAGCTCATACAGACTAATTTTATTTAGAGTTGGAATGTGGGTACAAGAAGGAGGGTAAACAGAAGGGTGGCATGTTTAGTCCCGACTGAGGTAAACATCTGAAAAGAAAGCTTGTAGACAATGAAATATGGCAAGAAAAAATAATGAACTGACAGGACGACGGAAGTACTGATGAGCATATGTAACTGTCAGAGTAGCGGTTCTGTTTTACTTTTGTCGTTTTACTTGTCAAGCAGCAATCAAATCCATTTCAGGCAAATGTGCGAAATGTCACTGAGGTTATACAGTGTTGCAGCAGTCCTCTGGGGAAATGACTCCAAAATACCTCGGAAAGGCAGACTCATTTATTCATCACTTCAGACGCACTTTAAAAAGCTCTCGCATCTTCCCTTCCCCCTCGCTGTCACTGCCGCTATCCGCATCTTCACAGTGGACTGCCTTTTCATGTTCCTGCCATCCTCAGACAGCCAGGATGCTGTGAAAATACTAATAGTTTTGATGGCGAGAGCCAGTTGGAATTCTGTTACAAGACGTCTGTTGACAACAGGACGCTTAAGTTCCTCACCGAAAATGGCAGTCTGTTGACATTATCTTTTCTGTCACTAGTCAGATTTAATCAGGAGTGATGAATCGTTAAGATCATCACAGTAAGCTATCAAGCTCATCAAATAATTTACAGTTGTCAATAACAGAAAGCACTCAGTTAGGGCCCTTCTTTGACATGAGTTAAAGGCATCTCGGCATGTTTCTGTTTCAATCCAGAATATAAAATTAGCTTTCTAGGCATGAAAGTATGTACCTCAAGGGTGATTTTAAAATACAAACTTTAATGTGTAAAACAATGGTACCTTGGTACCATGGACACACTTTGTACCTTACCTACTCCTAAAGGGTGCAAATGAATACCTAATGGTGCTTTTGAAGGCATAGTTCACCTGCAAATTGAGTAATCTATCATGTCGTTCTAAAAACATCATGATCTCACTGGAATCTTTTGGTTCATAATGAAAGGCAATGGTGTCCAATGTTGTTTAAAACCCCAATTACTTTCAAAATATCTTTTTTTGTTGTTCCACGGTGTGACTAAAGTCATAAAGGTAGTGAACCAGTGTTATTTTAGAATTATTTGTATACTATCATAGTATTTATTAATCATTTTAATTATTTATTTTCAAATTTTCAATTTGTAAACTTAAATTTATTTATTCAATTAGTTAAAAAGACAACATTTAATTTTTTTTTTTTTTTTAAATTTTAACTAAAAGTTTGACCAAATTTTTGACCAATTTTTTTTTAACTAACCCTTTAAGCTGCTCATATACACTTTTAAGAGTTACATAAGGTAAAAAGCCTCCAAAATATAACATTTTTGGACAATTTCTCTGACAAGTGCAGTACTGGAACATGCTTGCTGACATGTCATAAAATTTTAGTCCATTCACGTCACAGAACCATTGTAAATCCCCCCTCTTGTGCTGTGAAATGAGCAATACTAGCACCAGCATACACGGATACTTCAAAAATCCAGAAGAAATACACTCAAATTACAACAAGAGTCACCATCACCTACTCTAATAAAAGCCTTTGCCACAAGAATCTGGTGCACCTGTTTTTTCTGCTCATCTTTTTGACAGACTCTCAAAAAGCAAACGTGAAGAACAGAGAAAGAGCTCCGTCACTTAGGGACTGGAATGCCTTTCATGGCCCTTCACAAAATCCGGTATGTGAAGAAGTCTCCCCGGCTCTTCTTATCCATGGCAACCATCTTCAGACCCACGGGCTTCCACTTCCACCGCATTGTTTGGCCTGATGAGAGGAAGTTCCCAAAAGCTTGAGGGCTTGCAGACTACAGTAGCAGTCAGTGAATCCGAAATTGAGGAACCAGGGTGGTCACGCCAATCCTTGTGCATGGTAGAATCTTTCATCCCAGAGGAGTCCATTGTTTTCCAATCCTGTTCCCGCCTCTCTCTTCTTTCTATCAGCAGCCTTTAGGAGCTTCTGACCCCCGAGGTTTAGCACCCCAGGCTCCTCTCTCAATGAGTTGAGATCATTATGCCAATTAACTGAACTGGATCAGAACTTGGCCATGGCTGTATGCGCAGAGCTTTGGACAGTTGCTAATTGGGGACTTGGGTAAAGAAAAAGAGTCAGTGACAATGAGGCTTTGAAAGTAAGGCCGAGCTGTCACTCAAGAGTCCGACTCCATTCCAGTAGGGCTTTCTGGTGGGAGGTTGAGTACACATTAACGCTATGAAAACGTATTTGACCGGTTGAGAAGGAGGTGGGCAGGAGGTGTGAGAAATGTGATGCAAGTTAGGTCTTGTGCACAAACAGGAAAACCAAGAGAAAATCTTTGCCAAACGAGCCAAGAAATAATTCCAGCAACACCGTCAACCTACACACACTGATGGTGGGTTTCTGCACTGCCTTTGCAGTAGAAACAATGGCTATTTACTGAACCTCCATTTGCAATGGCTCCTGTTGAGTTTTTTTTTTTTGATAGATAGCTTAAATGCATACATAAATAGATAAATAAAAATACATTCCGAAATCCCAAATAAGACACACTGCTGCAAACTTTGTGAGAACTAAACAACTTGAAAAGTGATTTAACCCAGAGGGTCACTGGAGCCACTGAAGGTCAGATGAAAAGTCACATATGAGCTCATTTATATTCCCAAATGTGTAAGGGCATTAAGGTCAAGTGAAGTAGGTAGGTATAGGGCAACAACTCTGACAGATTTTACCTTTTCTGCTTTCCTCTTTATGACATTCTGAGGTAAAGGTCCCTGCTCTGAGTCTGAGCTTTTTCTCTTAATTCAAACCACACACCCTAGACTGCTTCGATCGGCTGCTTCTGCATGTCTACAGTACATCCACATTCTCTACTTTTTGTACTGAACGGAATCTGAACACAAACAACTGAAGACTGACCACAAACAACTTCAGAATTTAGTTACGTGAATAAACTCATAATCGGTGCCGTCGTAGGTGGGGTGCGAGGCTCTGTGCGAACTTGAAATGCGAGTAACACCCTGACTGGTCGGCGAGCTCAACTATTTCGGCAAATCTGTCTTAAAATCATGTAGTGTGAACTAAGCTTTAGCTCACTGTTTTTCGGTGAAATGCCTTGTTTGTAGTCGAGCAGCGATATGCAAACTTTGCATTCGACTTTTTTTCCGTTATCTTCGTAAAATTTTATATATGAGTTTGAAGAGGAGAGAAAAATGCCCCTTGATTGTGCGAAGGCGCAGGATATCGCAGCCAAGATAGCACAAATTATCGTAATGAGTGCTATTTGTTTTTATATTAGACTTTTTTAATATATACTTATGCACTAAAGTCCAAAAATGAAGAATTTATGTTTATTACCTGATTGTTCAAGCTACCTCACAGAAGTGCTTTGTTTGTTAACAGAGTTGTCAAATGTTAAAATAAGGCGAATTAAATAAAAATACATTTTGGATCTGTTTTTTCGCTCTTCTTTATTCTTTTTTGTAGCCTAGTATCGGATCGGGACTCGGTATCGGTAGATACTCAAAATCAAATGACTCAGACTCGGACTCTAGGGCAAAAAAAACTGATCAGGACATCTCTACTTGTTGTGTATTGCCTAATTGTAAGCTTGTTCGGAAATGTTGACAAAAACGTAAAATAAAAATTAACTTAAAAATTCGTTAAACGTCATTTAATTAAACGAATATTCGATTTTTATGAACCCGAATATTCAAATGCAATATATTTTTTTTAAATTTTCACCCCTACTTTCCACCTGATAAAATTAACACATTAAAAAATCGACCAATCCGAATTTTTTGGGGGGGTTGGGGGGTTGTTGCGAGGCCCCCTAGTGGTGCGAGGCCCTGTCACACAGTTCGCACAGCCCTTGCGACGGACGGCTCTGCTCATAAAAGACGCAACTCATCTCTTAAATAAACTGTTCTGACTTGTATTGAAACCCCATTGGGAGTTAAAACTATTATATATTTACAACTTTTGAGGTGATTCTTTTTCTCAGAACAAGAAATAATTTTGAATTAATGTGGTCTTTCCCAATTAAAATGAATGGCAAACTTTTAAGCTTGACCTATACTTTCAAGCTTTAAAAGAAGAAATGCCAGATTCATGAATAAATCATTCATTTGAGTCAGACCTTGACAATGTTCAGATGATTTGATTGATAAAACTGGTCTGGGATTCGTTCATAAGTCAAACTGATCTAGTGGGGTCAGATTATAATCAGACCGTCCTAATTCCCTGTACTTGCATGGAAAAGAGAGAATACAAAAAAAAAGAGAGAATAATATAGCCTATTAAAAATTTATTTTTTTTGTGAAATAAATCTACACGGGTTTGAATCTACATGAAGATAAATAATTAATGAAAAATGTTTTTTTTTTCTATTCCTTTAATGTTACCACTTTTTTCTTCGGTATAAGAACACCTCTGCTTCAAATAAATGTAAAATGTAATCAGTCAAAACAGGTTTTATAATGTAATAGCCATGACTAATTCTCTAGCTTTAGTAACTAATGATGCATTTAAATTTTACACAGCGAGATACAAATTAAAAATGTGTGTACAGCAGGCTAATTGGGAAATGTAATGCCATTCATCATGATTATATATGATAAAAATAATGATATAACACAATAACAGGTAAACTAATTATATCAGAATATCAGAACATACATTGCAAACATATTCCACCCCCCACATGGCCAACTGCATAATAAATATTACAGCACAACATGACTATATATCAACACCTCCATCTAGTGGTGTATGAGGACCAACATCTCCAAATGGTCAGAAATCATACCTTTCTATAACCAATGCACATTGATATCGCTATAAATTAATAAAACTAAATAGAACAAATACAAATTCTCTAATGAAAAGCTCTCTTGTGAGACCTTTGTGAGAGACTAGACTTCTTGAAGGGAAATGTTATGGATTACACGGTCAAACAAACAAAGTAAACAGCAAATTTAAATGCAATGAATTCATTAAACTAATTGAACTAATTTACTTTCATGAGGGAATTAAAGGTTAATGCATGTGTAATGTATTGGATGTGCTGAGGCTGAGCTCTGCATACTGAGTGTTCAGTAAACAGGAAACAGCACAGGTTGCTCTGAAGCCACAACTCAGACTATAATTGTGTTATTTGCGCCTGACGTTATATAATAGTCAATTCTAATGAGAATGATGATAGCTGTAGGAATTAGAAGTTGATTCTATATACAGTGAGGAAAATAAGTATTTGAACACCCCGCTATTTTGCAAGTTCTCCCACTTAGGAATCATGGAGGGGTCTGAAACTGTCATCGTGATCAATGTTAATATTTGGTACAGTAACGTTTGTTTGCAATTACAGAGGTCAAACGTTTCATGTCGTTTTTCACCAGTTTTGCACACACTGCAGGAGGGATTTTGGCCCACTCCACCACCACACAGATCTTCTCTAGATCAGTCAGGTTTCTGGGCTGTCGCTGAGAAACACGGAGTTTGAGCTCCTTCCAAAGATTCTCTATTGGGTTTAGGTCTGGAGACTGGCTAGGCCACGCCAGAACCTTGATATGCTTCTTACAGAGCCACTCCTTGGTTATCCTGGCTGTGTGCTTTGGGTCATTGTCATGTTGGAAGACCAAGCCTCGACCAATCACTGAGGGAAGGAGGTTGTTCCCCAAAATCTCGCAATACATGGTCCCAGTCATCCTCTCCTTAATACAGTGTAGTCGCCCTGTCCCATGTGTAGAAAAACACCCCCAAAGGATGATGCTACCACCCCCATGCTTCACAGTATGACCAAAAAGTTTGGTCTCATCTGACCACATGACTTTCTCCCATGACTCCTTTGGATCATCCAAATGGTCATTGGCAAACTTAAGACATGTGCTGGTTTAAAGGAGTAATTCACTTTAAAAAAAAACACTTTTTTTCATGATTCTTTGATGGATAAAAAAAAAGAAAAGCATTTATTTACAATAGAAATCTTTTGTAACAATATGCACTACCGTTCAAATGTTTGAGGTCAATAATATATTTTCTTTCTTTTTTTGAAAAAAGTTAATACTTTTATTCGGCAAGGACAAATAATAATCCAATTTATTTTGTTAGAAAACATTATATTTTAAATAAATGCTGTTCTTTTTACATTTTTATTCATCAATGAATCCTGAAAAAAGTATCAGAGGTCCAAAAAAAATCAGCTTTGTATAACAGGAATAAATTAAAATAGAAACTAATAATATTTCACAAAATTAATGCACACACACACACACACACACATGTATTAATATGTAATAAATATGTAATACACATTTATAAATGGAAAAAAGTGATCTTTTTAACATCTCTTGAATCAGTTACAGGCTGTAATCACTGAAATAGTACCATTAATAATTCCAGATATAAAACAATACTGCTAATGCAGGAATATAATAGTATCTTACTGACATAGCAATAAAGGGTCCACTCCCCATCGAGATACACTATTGGCCTCATTCATTCTACAGTCTACTACTCACCTTCTTTGGATCATCATAGAAGATCCCAATGCACGACAGCTCGGGTTCGATGCTGCGGCTCTCTTTGAGCAGTGATCCACAGTTTTTATAAGGTCCCACTTTGTATTTATAGGCTATAGTGATGCTCCTGATAGGGGGTAAACCAGTCCTGATATGGATTTCAGAGGTCAGACCAGAGTACAAAATGTAACATACAGCTATTAGAAAAAGAATTAGAGAGATGAAGCCTATGAGACTCGAAATCTGCCATTCCCACATGTCAGCTGAACGCTGTAACGTTATTGTGATGTTAAAGTGTGAAATAATAACCGAGAGCTGCTTTTAACGAGTATAACAGACTCTCTGTTTCATTCAGTCAGCAAACCATCCGGACTACGTGGGTTTTACTAAGCGACTGCATTGGTTAAAGGAGAAATAGACTCAGATTAAAGGATTTATTAAAAGAAATCAAAACTTAGTTGAAGATGACACACAAGCCACTCAAGCGCAGATTCACTTCCTTAAACACAGAAAAGTCGCGCACGAGCTTCCTGGACGCAACCATCTCTGTTATACGGGTGGGAGATATTTATACCGCCTAAATGGAAGCGAGTGTCTTGTCTATTTTCTAAACATTTATAACAGTTTTTTTTTATTTTTTTAAAAATCTGTAATTCACTATTTAATACAGAAGGTATTCTAAACGGTTCAATGGGTTCACTCACGTATGGGTTGATATGGTATTTGGTATGAACTGGATTTGATTGAATTAACTTTCGGGCTGTCCTTTGTTTATATTATGCTTTTTATGTTTCTCGTTTTTTTAAAAGGCATATAACTAAATAAATACGGACTTGTGATGCTCCATTCGCGAACGAATCGTTCAGCAGGAATATTTTTATGAACCGATCGAATCGGTTCACAAAATCGGACTCTGCTAAATTATTGATCACTCGGGCTGAATCACTTTTAACGGTCTTGAGACTGACCGGTTCATTGAACCGAGCCTTCTCAGAAGTTCGATTCTTAAAGGAACCGAGATCTTATTACTTAATATTCAATAGCCAAGTTTCCATCCACTTGTCAATAAAATTATCTGAAGTTCGGTAAAAAATCACGGCTCCAACGGCTTTAAAGCAAATAAAAACCTGTACATAATGAGGTCACATGCTGTTTTGCGATCAAATTGGTATTGGTATATAATTGATTTGAGACATTTTAAGGTATTTCCATTAATTTTTGCTCTGAATTGCACAACATTCAAGCAAACATTTGCGAACAAAGTTTTGCTATACAAAATGAGCCATCTGCCAAAAAAAAAAAAAAAAAAAAGATCAATATTGCACAAGTTGTTGTAGCCTAGTGTTATGTGCCAGCTGATAGCGACATATGTAAGGGATAATGTATCAATCAAGATAAAATCCGATGAGACCGAACGCATTTCATTTGAGTCGATATTCATGGAATTCAATCGAATTTTACTGTTTCCATAAGGCATTTTTTCATTCGGATAAAAACGTGTGGATGGAAACTAATGTTTGACAGAAGATAGCAGTGTTTCACTACCTCTTGCCCGGCTGCCCTCGCACGGAGTAGTATGAAGCTGCAGACTCGGAGACCTGCATTTACAGTCCCCCTGCACCCAGAGTCCCGCATTCTCAGACCCCTCGTTTTTCGAGACAGCGCCTCCTATCAAATTGTATCGGATAAACATGTGAAGAACATGTGAAGTAGATAAATAAAATCTTCAATTTTATTTAGCGATTCGTAGTAGACTACTCGTTTGATTTATTTTGTTAATAAAACTAATTTAGCTCATCGATACAACATATGAATAGTCCATTTAATATTTGTAAAGATAGTTTGAAACAAGATTTGAGCCGTTAATGTATGTTTTTTCGTCCTCTTCTCCCCGAAAATATTTAGATAGCTTATGTTTACGTTAGCCTTTAACCTTGGACTTTTTGTAGAAATGTCTTAAATGCTGCAGTTATTTTCACTGCCCATTTTGTGCCCCATATATTTCAAACCCACAACGTTGTCCAAAGTTCAAAAACATCTCAAGGGACACTTCAACAGAGCAGTGCAACATAGTAACTAACATTTGCAAACATTTTTTCTTTTTTTTCTTTCTTTTTGAAACATCATAAGACATGTGCTATCGGTCCTATGGAGTTGCCCCTGCCGAATCCAGCAACATATCATTTTATGATTATGCAAAGGGACTTATAAATGAGTTTTTTTTAATGCAATTGAAGACGAAAAGTAAAGTCAAAAACACTGTTTTTTCTTCCTTTTTTCTTTACAGCAAGATGATGTTTAGGTGATTATTAAATAAAGTACATAATTGTTTATTATTGGTGTTTTGTCTATTCTGATTTGTTTTGCTTCGCATTCAAAATATCAAAAAAAACAGATATTGTAATGTTAGCATGGTAATGTTAATTAGACCATTATAGGTTTAACTGAAAGAAAAATTGGAATTTGAATAAAAAAATATAATAAAAAAAAACATTGTAGCAATAGGATAATATAGCCTACTATTTTTCTGAAGATAGTTCAATCTGCTAATTGTATCCCTTCCATCAGTAACAATTAGGGTTTTTTTTGACACATGCATTAAGCAGGGAACACAAATATTTATTGGATAATTTATTTGAAGACCGTAATATTGCATCCTATTCTTGTTTTTAATTGCATTTGGATAATGCGCTGTACTCTGTGTGCGGGTGTTATTCGATCTTTTGAACAGCAGGAGGCGCTGTGTTCGAAAAACGAGGGGTCTGAGAATGCGGGACTCTCGTTGGGGGACTGTAGATGCAGGCTCCGAGTCTGCAGCTTCATAATATTGCTCGCACGAGACAGCTTTCACTTCCTTGAATTCTTTGACGCACATACACAGTTCCCTCCCCTTATACTCAAGGTTCAACCACCAGTTCGACTCAAGGTTCGTTGATAAAACAAGCATTTTACTCTTCAAACTAAAGAGTAAACGGCATGGCAGGGACCGTGAAGAAGCTTTTTGATCTGTCCGCCAAACTTTTGTCAGGGGAGCTCCTGAATTTTTCGTCTCTCAAAGGTAAAGTTGTGCTTATTGAAAATGTGGCGTCGCTTTGAGGCACAACGGTCAGGGATTACACCCAGATGAACGAGCTGCACAGCCGCTATGCTGACCAGGGGCTCGTGATTCTGGGCGCTCCCTGCAACCAGTTCGGACATCAGGTGAGACTTCCAACAGTTTTGGGTCTTTCATCGGTTAGGCTACTCATTTTCAATGCAATCAGTAATGAGTTTAAAGAGAAATGCTTAAATCAATCTCTCAATTTTTTTTAAATGATATCTATATATTAAACGTAATATATTTATTTTAATATATATCATATATTTTGAATATAATTTAGTTATCGTTATACACTACACTTATTATTTGTAGTAAATATTTGTAATATTTTAAATACTTTAAAATAAATTAAATATAATAAATTAAATATGTAATATATATATATATATATATACAGTGTGTGTGTGTGTGTGTGTGTGTGTGTGTATATGTGTATATATATATATATATATATACATATACTCATTTTGTTCCAGGATGTCTGTACATCTGGAAAGTGTAAGCGTTCAGCGGTTTGCTTTGATACTGCTTTGAAAAAAAATGCTGGCCTCTATATCGCTATCAGTGAAGCTTTGTTCATTTTTGATAACAATGACAATGGACAACCTGTATTGTTAACTGATTTGATGCTAATATGCCAATGCCATTATCTGCTTTATTGAATAACATATTGTGCAATTTTAATTGCTTAACAGGAGAACTGCAAAAATGATGAAATCCTGCTGTCTCTGAAGTATGTCCGGCCGGGAAATGGCTTCGAGCCCAAATTTCAGCTTTTGGAGAAGATGGAAGTGAATGGAGAGAACGCCCACCCTCTGTTTGTGTTCCTGAAGGAGAAGCTCCCTCAGCCCAGCGATGACGCTGTGTCCCTGATGGGTGATCCCAAATCGATCCTCTGGAGTCCCGTGTGCAGGAATGACATCTCTTGGAACTTTGAGAAGTTTCTCATCGGCCCGGACGGGGAACCGTTCAAGCGCTACAGCAGAAGGTTCCTCACCATCGACATCGAACCAGATATCAAAGAGCTTCTCAAGAGGACCAAGTAAACCTGGCCACGCAAGATAATCCGTCCATTCCATATCTCATGTAGCCATTGCTTCTAAAATAAGATTGTTTGATATATACCGACTGTGCAGACATGATTAAAGTACGACTGTTTTTTCGACTGTTTACTTAATGAAGATGCTTCCTAAACCTTTCTGAGGGAAGTTTCTGATGTAACTGTAAATGTTTATTACAATAGTTGTATTTTATCCATGAACTGCACAGCTTAGGTTTAATCTTTCAACTTTTAACTCAAAATAAAAAAAATGTAAAAAAAAAGAAACCCATTGTTCCTTAATTCACTGAAAAAAAAACAGAAGCAGTTCATATGACAAACCTCAACCATTCACTTTCACTTCCTCATTTTCTTTCATTATCAGTCACGCACAAGATAATAATCAGCGCTATGATTGTTATAATGCCCAATTAATGATCTACCTAAATAAAATTGGATTTAATGATCAGTATAAAACTGAATCCAGTTTAGATTGCCTAATGTCAGCATGACTAAGCATAAACACTGAAAATAGCTCCACACAGTGCAACACTGAAGTATTGTCATATCATGCTTATGGGGAATCTAGACATTCACCTAATCAGAATGATACAGTATTTTCTTTATTTCAACAACAATTTTGATACAAGTATATAAAGTCATGTGAAAAAGAAAGGACATCATATTAACTCTAGTTTCATGTATCAGGACATAAAAAAATCATCTGGTCCTTGACAGGTCTTAAAATGAGGTAAATACAAAAATAAATACTTGAGAGAACTGTGCATAAACAAATGCCCGCAAACCTCAATGAACGTTGCTTCAGAACAATATGAGAGACAGAAAATGAAAATCACACAGAAAATTATAAAGTAACAATATAAAAGAAAAAAAAAAAACACTATAGATCAATGCGTCCTTTAGAATGGAATCATTATTCATGTTTTTTTTTGAGATATTGAATCTAGTCCAGAAATAAATGAATCTAAACAAGGAGTAATTGAGGATGACATGCACACGAAATCTGTGCTATATAAACATATATATTATGAAATGCATAACACTTTCTGACCACCCACATTTTTTCTTTAGAAAATGACCCAATTCCCTCTGAATAGAAATATAGCATAACTTAAATATGCTTGAGGACATCAAACTATGGTGAGGATAACACTAAGTCCAGCTCCAAAGAACTGACATCACAGTCAGCAGTGAAGTCACTGTCCCGCTCAATCTCAAGAATCGTGTCCAGCAAGAAGGAATATTCCTCATTACTATCGTGAACCCAGCGGCCGGTACTCTCCTCTTCCACACCACTGTTTGCCCCTTCTCTTTGGTGCAAAGAGGATTCGGGGTTTTTACTCTGCAAGGATCT